GTTTCTCTGTATTGCCCCCAGGCCACCTGCCTTTGCAACAGAAGGACTGAGTGGTCTGTTAACTTCTTTCCTATTTAAAAAATATCTTAATGAGCTAAGCGTTACTTTAAAATCTAATTTAAAAGTGTAGTTTTTACAACGGACATTAAGTTTCATAAACAGTAAACGTGCATCTTCACGTGTAAGAGTAGCAGTTGGTAACTGAACAGCACTAGAACACACAGGTCCCTCACGATCCCGTCACACAATTTGACACCTTGCTCATGTCTCTAGATGGGGTGACAGCAGGTCAACTATGAGATGCACAGCATAGCCCAAATCAAACCTTCCAGTCAATCTAGATTATATTCTGTTCGGTTTTACCCAAAGCTGTACGTGTCTTTAAATATCTAGTCACTAACTTCACAAAAATGATTCGTGATGAGCTGAACAAAACAGCAGCCAACAATGCTGCAGAGAAAAATAAAGATCTACGGAGAAGTTGGTAGATCTGTACCAAACTCAAGAGGTGAAAGTCTGAGAAAGTCAGCAGGTCTGTAGCAAAATGTGCGCGTCTACTCCTTTTACCGTGGCAGGAGAAGCAAAATAGAGTTAAACAGGAAAGGTTTCACTTCACGGGGACTTGCCACAACATATGCTTTTACTCTCCATAGAAATGGATACACAATTTGCACCCGTCAAAGTTGCAGATAACAGACTTTTTACCAGAATATCCACCGAATACTACAGAAGATAGCTCAACTGCAACGGAGCTCTAAGCCTGTTCATACGGCAGCGTACTGTACAACCCCCAGAGCCGAGAACTGTGGCATCATGGTGTACCACTAAGACGTTCCTCTCCTGCTACCACCACGGTCAGCAATGTATTCAGAACAGACGACCTACATGGAACTGGTTACCAACAGGTGTGATACAACATCGTAGATTCAGCTGCAGCACAAAGGGCCGGTAAAACTCAGTTTACTTTATGGTAACTATACCGCTAGAAAGGCAGCGTCCTCTAACTGCTCTAATACCTGCAGAACTGGCGTGAAAGGTTCTGCTCTGATATTTTTGGCCGCTCAACTCTACACATCCTAAGCAACAGCATTTCCACGTAGTCAGAGGAGGAAAAAAATTTCTAAAACGAAAGCTGGTCTTAAGTTCATTAATTCAGTGTCAAGAGTTAAGAATCCTGCAGCAAGCAGAAGCGGAATGACCTGTCACGCTCTCCTTACCCGTGATTCCCATCTCGTATCGGAGGTGAACTTACGGTTTATTCTGAGTCAGAGGAAAATGCCTAAGGAACCTCATCTGCAGAAATTTCTGCATTTTGATGGACAGCCTACCGATTTTCTCCGGCTCATCTGGACCTGTTCCGGCAATGCAGCTGCTCTCCAGTCCGTATGTTGGATCCACCTTCCCAGAGGCTCTTGCTGCTTCCTGTACTTTCTTTACATGAGCTTCAACGAGCTCCAGTGGTACCTCCTCTCTGACTCGAGAGAACTCCTCTGTTAAAAATTACACAGAAAGTGCTATATTGCGAGGGTTTTAAAGCAAATTAGAAATTATTGCTTTCTCAGATCAATAAAGCTCAGGACAAATTCTCAAATGTGTACGTTCTTCCTTTTCACATTAGGTAGTTAATTTTCTCTCTCAAATGTGGTAGTCTCTTCCCAATTATGTAAAATTGTCTTTTACGTGGAAAAATAAGGAGAAAAGTGAAAGGCACTATTTAATCAAGTTTCTTATATATATACCTAGCAGATAATTTCACACAAGCAGAACAGGAAAACTGGAAGTTTAGCGTTGTGCATTTACACATAGCTAAACTAATGACAGTGGTCACAGTAAGACCAACTACTAGGCGGTGCTTGCAGACCCTATCAATAGTCGATGAGCACTAGAGGGAAACGCAAGCCATCTTTAGATATTCAGCGGCCTTTAAGAACTATTCTGACTTGCCTGTAAATCGGCAGTTTCAGTAACAACAGAACACAAACCTGGGCATCAGTAGACCTGTTTTCTATATACGTGTAAATTTGGTTTTACAATTCATTACCCAGCCTGAAGAAACTCCCGAAACAGTCGATTTTAAGAACAGACTAACAGAGAGCAAAGCTGTAAAGACAAAGTGAAAAAAAAAATTGCTGGGGCAAACCCGTACCTAAGGCGGCCTTCGCCGCGGCTGACGCCACCCGGGGATCCACCACCGATGCCAGAAAAGCAACGGTACTCATCACCGGATTGCCAGACTGGCTGAAAGGTACGGGCTGGTAAGCCAGCGGGCCCAGGGATGCATCGGAGTTCTCCAAATAGGGGTCTTCGATCGGGAGTCTCAGAAAATGGAGAATGCACTCATCTTGGGTGCGGCTCCCAACGTGCTCCGAGACTTTGTTCCAGTCATCTTTGTACATCTCCAGAGCCTGCAAAAGATGAAAATCGTTGTAAATACATTGACTGCTCCGGCAGAAAAAAATCCCCTACTTTATGGAATAATATTTTCAATACTAGTTATTTTGGTGATGAAACAATAAATCAGGATCAGACAACTATTTAAAATCGTATTTTTTCTGCTAGCAAAATTATTCTGCGTAGGAAATATGAACATCTCACTGGGGCATCAGTTAAATTTAAGCTGCAAGGATCATCACACAAGATGCTGTTCCTGTAGCAAAAAGAACTGTCAGAAGATTAAAAATTCACTAATAATATTTGCATAGTTAGTGTTTCCCTGTTTTGCTTTCACATGAAAAGCTTTACAGAGAAGTAAGACTGCTTATCCTACCAAGTCTCACCAATTCTTTTAATTCCCATAACTACTTCCCCTGAGGGCACTCTTGTGTTCTCTCATTTGTGTCTTAACACACTAAGCTCTTCGGGGCAGGGACAGGATTTATTTCACACATATACGCTAGCCATGATGGTGAACTCCAGTTTTCCAATCCAACAGATGTTATGAAAATGGAAGAGCAGCAAACCAATATACCAGGGAAAAGAGGAAAATATATTCTGTATCACAAAGCCAGAAGAGATCAGTCCTCTAGCAACTGTTAACCAATTTGATTTTTAAGTTCAGGTTAACAAATCATTATTATGTAGATAAACCACCTGATAAAGTAAGAATTTCCAGGTTCAATCAAAGATCTTATAATTTGGTTAAGAAAAGTCAACAAAATTTAATGACAATGAACTACTGAAGCCATAGAATAGAATCACAGAATCATTTAGGTTGGGAAAGACCTTTAAGATCGAGTCCAACCATCTCTGCACCAGTTGTTTAAACACTAACAAACGAGCACTGCAAAAACCCAAGTGGTAGCCTAATAGAATATTATCCTTTATTTTTTTTCCCCTGAAAACTGTTTATTTAGTTATTTAAGCATTTGGACAGCATACAGTAAAGAGTTAAGTATCCTCAACTGCTAACTTTCACATCACTGAGATGATTAATGGTCCAGTCACCTAGGAGAAAAAAAAAAAAAGGCAGCCTGACTTTTCCGCCAAATACATTAAACTTAAAAATAAAAATGGGATCGACAATTCAAAGGGCGTATCAGGAGCCTTCTGAAAATAGTACTAGAGGCCTGAGCAAGGGCGGTAAACACCTTCCTATTTATCTGAGTTGCAGGTATCTGTCAGATAACGCGATGAGGATACATCCAACACGTCTGAGCAGTACACACAAGAACACAAAGTTAGTACGCTGCGTGGTTCAGCA